CTCTGGCCGCCTCCTTCAGGCCTGTGCTCTCTCTGGCCGCCTCCTTCAGGCCTGTGCTCTGGGTCGCCTCCTCCTGGCTGCACACAGCGCAGTCTGTCTTGGTCCTCCTTGGTTCACCTGCTTTGCACCATGGCTTCCTTTCCTCTCAGACTGCGTCTGCTCTACAGCCCAGGCTGACTTCAGACTCCCCTGCCAAAGTGCTGGGGCTGCGGGTGTGCCCTGCACCCCAGATGCTCTTCCTTGCAGTCTTAGCAGCTCCTTGCTTAGAGATGAAATGCTGGAGGTTTCGTTTATTCATTTGTGGTTGTTTGGTCTTTCATAAAGAGTATTTAATCTACTTCGTACTGATCTCATTTCACGAAGCGTGCGCCTGCTGCTGCTGCTGCTGCTGCTGCTGCTGCTGCTGCTGCTGCTGCTGCTGCTGCTGCTCCTCCTCCTTCTTCTCTCTCTCTCTCTCTCTCTCTCTCTCTCTCTCTCTCTCTCTCTCTCTCTCTCCTGGACCTCGGGCAGACCCAGGTGCCCTGCAGCCTCCATGGCAACACCCTGCGTCCTCTCCTCATTCACATGGTCCCTTCCAGCCAGAGGGCTCGCTCCTCTTCCCCTGCCATCTCTTGAGCTTCCTTCTGGATCCCTGGAACTCACACTGCCCCAGCATGTTCTTTGCAACCTGTAGCTGGCATGGTGGTTCCCAAGGTGCACAGAGCTGCTGAACACTGGTTTGCTTTTTGAGGGCTTGGGGACCCTGCAGGTTGAGGGTGGGTGAAGTGGGACTTTTCATCCACTAAGGTGGCTTCTCCTAGCAGGAGCTGCGGGGAGGTTTGCTTCCCACAGAGCTGGGACTCCAGTGCTTCCTCTGAATGCATTATTACACAGAGCCCTCCCTGGAGGTGGAGGTGCAGCGAGGGGCCACCTCCTCCGCTCACTTCTCGGGCCCGCTGTCTTTCAGGTGGCAGAACCCGAGGCCTGTGATCAGATGTACGAAAGCTTAGCACGACTGCATTCAAACTACTATAAACACAAGGTGAGTGGGCGCAGGCTTTGGTCCCAGCCTCCGATGGGAGGGCCAGTCAACGGGTGAAGCCTGATTATACGGTGTTGTGTGAATTGTGGTTCAAGTGTAACCAGTGCTTTCAGCTAAGCCAACAATGGTGCCTGGCAGAGGCCTTTAAAGGTCTGCTGAATAAAAGCCATGTGCCTCCTGTTCGTATTTCCCACTCGGTGATGGAATTGATGTCACATGCTGATAAAGATGGAGTGCTGGAACAGCCCTGTCACACCTAGCTCTGCTCCTCTTCAGCCTTGACATGATTACTGTCAAAATGCATGTAGTGTGGTTTTTCCAGACTTGAAAAATATGCTCAGTAGCTCCATAAATAGACATGACCAAATGGAAGAGCCTGTGTACAAAAGGGATTCCTTCCAAATGCCATCTACTGAGTGTGGTCCTGAGCAGCTCTGTGGGTGTCACCTGGGAGTAGTAGTTAGAAATTCCGAGTCCTGGGCCTGCCTCTCAGTTCTCCACAGTTCTGGCTTGTGTGTGTGAGAGTCCTGGCCTCCAGGTGGCGCTGTTCCTCCTCAGGTTCTGGCTCCCGTGCCCAGGGCCCAGGTCAATTGCAGCCGGGCCAGTGTCCTGCAGAGCTAATGTGTCCTTTCTCTCCTGCCCTGTGCCAGTACCCTCGCCCCAGAGACACCAGCTTCAGCGGTCTGTCCGTGGAAGAGTACAAGCTGATCCTGTCCACAGGTAGGAGACGCGGCTGCCCTCCCTGGGTGGTTTGCTGTGCACTTGAAGGCTGAGAAGGATTGCCTAATAAGACAGTTGTGTGTGATCAAAAGCCTTGAGGAATAGCTCAGAGGAAAGCCTAAGCTACAGGGCTGGTGTGTTTTAAGCCACAGAATATGGAAAAGGTCAAAGGCATTACTTAGAAGAGAAAATCATCTTTATACTTTTAATTCAAGACTGGTGCCTGGGAACAAGGGACCACATATTTGCCAAATGGAAGTCATTGGAATCAGGATGGAAGGAAAATAATTTTATTTTTATGGTCCTAAGGGGGCTTTATAAACAATGAGGCTTTTAATTAAAACAAAAAGCCATTCAGTAAATGAGTATGGGGATATCCGCCTGTGAGTTATCTGTCCCAGGAGATGTGGTCTGCAGGTTCGATATGCATCTAAGAGGTCTGTTTAGGACTCATGCTAGAACCCAGTTGGTAGGAAGGAAACCCCTGCCAGTCAGCCCCTCCCTATTTCCCCATTTCCATTGTCGCTGAAAGGGTGGCGGGGTGGGGGCAGGGTCAGAGCAGGTAGGTACTGGAAAATTGCTATTTTTACTGCCAAGGATATTGTATATAAAAATAGGCTAACCTTTTCAGTGAGGGCATGGCCCTGAAACGCTGGCTGTCTGGTACTCTAGAAATTTCTTCTTCCTTTTGGCAGTGGAGATTTGACCTTCTAGAATTCTTACCCTTCTGAGCAAATGGGAACCTGTGGCATCTGCTGGGTCTCAGGAGAGCAGGCCTCTCTTTACTCCGTCCCTGATGATGTCATCACCAGCGGTGATGGAGGGAGTGTCTTTGAGGGTCCTGAGAATGAACTTAGTATGGACGCGGGTCCCCACCGGCCTGTGCTTATCCCTTCTGCTAGACTTCAGGAAGCCTCTGGGCGGGTGGCAGGCAGCATGGTAACTTCTGGTCTGGCTTCTAGTCAGCCCAGGAAACTCCAACAATGTGTGCACAGCAGGCCTCATGTTTTTGTTGTAACTGTGTGGAGCCAGGACCACCTGAACAAGGATCCACATACACAGAGGACCAGCCAGGCCTGCAGTGTGGCCACCTTAGTGTGTCAGAGGGCAGGGATCCCAGTGTCACACTTTGGGCCTTGTTTGGGGATCTGGACTGTGTGAAAGTCGCAGGGTGGGAGGCTGTGCTGGTGGCTGCCACACAGTGCCCCAACTGATGTGGAGCCACATACCCACACAGTCATTCAAGCCAGCGCTTTTGTTAAAATCAAGTCCCTGAAAGGTAAGCAGTACCGTGATAGGATCTAAGTTTAATATCTATGAACTGTAAAATGCTATGTCACGGGCTCTTGGCTGAGGGGAGTTCTTTTTTTGTTTTGTTTTTCTGAGACAGGGTTTCTCTGTGTAGTTTTGGAGCCTGTCCTGGATCTCACTCTGTAGACCAGGCTGGCCTTGAACTCACAGAGATCCGCCTGCCTCTGCCTCCTGAGTGCTGGGATTGAAGGCGTGCGCTGCCGCCACCAGCACCCAGCCTGAGGAGAGTTCTTGGCCGACTATAGCTCTCTGCCCCATAGATGTGAGCCATGTCCAGAGGCACTTGTGGTTGTGGGTGGGGCCGTGCTGGCCTTGGTGGACAGAGGCCAGAATGCTGTTGGGTGTCCTGTGCACAGGACACTCTGAGAAAAACCACCAGACCCAAACTCAGCTTAGGGAAGAACTGCTTGGATCATGATGTGTGTGTGTTGGGGTGGGGTTAAGACAGGGTTTCTCTGTGTAGCTCTGGCTGTCCTGGAACTCATTATGTAGACCAGGCTAGCTTCAAACTCCCAGAGATCTGCCTCAGGAGTGGTGGAAGTACAACTGCCCGGCTCCTGTGTGTGGTTCTTAAACATGGCTCTCTGCATGTGCACATACATACACACACACACCACCACCACCACCACCACCGTGAAGGCTGACCAGTCCGATTGCCACAAACCCAGCTTGGGAGGTTTGTGGTCTTGTCCTAGTTTTAGAGTTGAACTCAAGATTGCAGGGGTTCAGGGACTGGGGGTGCGGGGAGGCGTCCATCCTCTCCCTCCAGCCTGCAGAGACCCACACTGCTGAGCCTGGCGGCTCCTCATCTGGATGCTTCCGGAGCTAAGGGCTTGCCTCCCTCTGCCTCGGTGCCTACAGCTAAGGCTGACAATAGAGTGGCCCGGATTGAAGAAAATTGGGGCTGTTTCTTTGCAAGTTCCTGTGGATTGGGCAGGAAGTGTACATCTGTGGTGCTGATGGGGTGGTCAGGTAACCCTGATGCGTGTGTCCCATCACTGCCTGCCATGTTTCGGGTAACCACTGAACTGCCTTTCACCGCACAGACCCAGTGCCTGGGCCACTAGAAAGCGAAGGGGGCTCTTCTGGGGACAGCCTGTGACATCAGTGTTCTGTCTCTCCCTGTGCAGACACCCTGGAAGAATTTCAGGAGATGGATAAGAGCGTGTGGAAGAAACTCCAGGAGAAGTTTGCACCCACGAGGCCAGAGGAGAAGCATAAAGCCTGGGCTCGGGTCTTGTCCCGCCCACGTACCTGAGCCTCGTCAATAAAGCTGCCCAGTTCTCCACTCTCCCTGTTTGAACCTGACTCAGTGGCCATCATGGGGCCTGTCTGCTGAGCAGGCATGCTGCATGGCATGAACCAGGGCATCTCCCAAGCAGGGGGACATAGGACCCTCCCAGCCGCAGCTCCACAACCCAGTGAGGGTCCTCAGGCTCCCTGTTGTGTAGGAGCAGCTGGGGAGACACCAGGATATGCAGTTAAGTGTGGAGACAGGCATCCTGTAGCAGACATCCTGTCTGGCCCTCTACCACAGACTCAGGACAGCTCAAGTCTCTCACTCCAGCCCTGCAAGTACACATGCCTAGGTGGCCTGAGAGATGTAGCCAAGCTTGAACTGAGTGTGGCGGCGGCGGGCAGGTTCTGTGGAGGGCTGCAAGACACACAGGCCACCTTACTGTACCTGCTTGAACCTCACGCTCCTATTAGGTCTCAGTCCTACCCAGACGTCCTGCAGCGGCCAAGTGGATCAAGGCCGGGCCTGCAAGTGGAGCCAGTCAAGTAACCAGAGCTCTGGTAGGCACTGGGGTACAGCAGGTGGCATCCAGCCTGAGGGGAGGCCAGGCCGCCAGGGCACACTGACCACCAGCTGTGTGGAAGCAGAAGCACAGCCCCTGGTGGACTTGGATTCCATTAATTTATTTAAGGCAATTAACACATTAGTTCTCAGGACATAGGACTTGTAAAACATGACACCAAAGAGAAAAAAAGCAGTCAGACACCACTTTCCTACAGCTCAGTCCTGTCCCTTGGGCTAGTGACTCTTGCCTACAAAGCCATCCATCCTGAGTCATCGGGCGCCTTGGACGGGGCCAAGAGTTCAGCGCACTGTCCCCAGCAGGCACAACAGGGTGGGGTAACCCCGGGAATAAGTTAAGTATCAAGCCCTAAGTAGCTAATAACAGCAGGCTGCCACCTTCCTGAGGCAGGAGGAAGGCAGGGAACAGCCACAATGTAGTGCTTGGAGATGAGAGGCAGCCCACTTCTAACCCCTGCAAGGACCACTGAGGAATGTCAGTTACTGCTTCAAGGCACAGCAGTCCGGAGGACCTAGTGTCCTCTAAGGCACTAAGGTAAACTGAGTCTCTTCAAGGGCTCTAAGCAGGACTGTGCTCTGAAGTACCCCTGCTGGCCAGAGCCTGGCTTGCGGGAGGGTTGCCAGCGGAGGAGGAGGAGTGGGCACCTGGCCTCCAGAGGTTGATGGGCCGGCCGATGGCCACCTGGCCTGGAGGAAGGGCAGTCACGTTTGCCGTGGACCTCCTGCGGGGGCTCCCGTGGCTCCGCTCAGCGGCTCCGCTCAGCGGCTCATGCAGTTCTGCACATCCACAAAGCCCAGGCGCTGCCTCCGTTTCCGCTGCTCTGTCATCTGAGTTAAACAAGTCCGTCAGGTGGCCCAGCTCCCTTCGCCACAGCACCGGGGAAGGCTGCCCTTCAGCCCTGGTGACGGCCACCCCCAACCCCCAGGGTGTCCTCAGCCTGCCAAACCCTTGGTGGGTGCACCTGGGAGATAAGAAGGGAATGGAGCTGTATTGGGTAGCTGCTGCCACATGCAAAGGAAGAGCAGATCCTGCCACACTGAACCCTTGGAGGCCCTGCCTGGCTGCTACAGAAGACCACAGGTGGAGAGGCTTAGGACCCTGAGGTTGGGCACACACCTGCTCCTTGAGTTCATTGAGCTGGGCGGTGAGGTGGGACACCAGCTTCATGGTGGAGCCAAGTTTCTCCTGCAGGATTCGGATCTCATTTTGTTCACCCTCACCCTCGCCGCTCACCAGGGACATGGCACGCATCCGTGGGAACCAGTCCAGGTTCTTGTTCTGGAACAAAGTGCTGGGGTGAGGACCAGGGAGGCCACACCCTTAACCAGATGGCTAGCAGGGAGTGTGTCATGGGAAAATCAGAACAGGCCTGGTCCTCCCAGGCAGGCAGGAGGAAGCCAGAGGTGGGCTTCCACCGCCACAGCAGGCTGCCCTTCGTGAGGTGCCCTGTCCACTTGTAAGCCGTTTGCTGGCATCTCTGCCATCTGCTCACTCCCTGCCCTCGCACCCTCCTTTCTGCTGCCGCAGAGGCGCATGCCCCGTACCCAGGGAAGATGAGAAGTACACGTATGGCCAGCAGAGCCAGCCTTGCTAGGGAGGGCTAGCACGTTTCCCAGGATAGAGGCGGCAGCAGGAGGGAGGGGCACCGGCAAAGCAGTTTTCTGGTTCCCTGTCACAAGCTGTGAATTCTCAGACCAACCGATAAACCCCTCGAGACAAAGCTCTCCACTGCCGCCATGACTATGTGAATCGGAAGGATTATAATTAATTCCTCTAAGCCTGGTATTTCTAAGCTTTTCTGGGCTTTCTCTCAGACTGGGACAGTGCTGACTTTAGGAAGCATCCTCCTCCGCTGTGCCTTCTAAGAGGCCCTGTGGGATCAGCCTCCCTCAGGGCTCTCCCCTCTCCACGCCGCCCTAGTGCCGCTGTACTCGAGGGCCCGGGCACACCATGTTCCCCCAGGGCTGACGGGTCCCCTGCAAGTTCATTTTCTCCTCACATCAGTAGAGAAGCCACGGGTGGCTAGCAGGGGTTTGCACAGCCAAGGGCTGGCCGCAGCTGCTCCTCACTCCCTGGCTGACCCAACAGCTGTCAACCTTCAGGCCGAGGCCAGCAGATGTAGCATCTCCTCCCAGGTTGTGGACCAGCAGAGCCAGGCCTGTGGTGGTGTACACCCTCACCTTGATCATCTGAGCCACGTAGCTCTCGGGGCCTGTGTAGTCCGTCTTGTTCTTGACACGGACCAGCACGATGAAGTACAGGTAATTCCACATGTTGTGCTCCAGCTTGATGTGCTCCTCAAAGGAGACTGTCTTGTTGTCAAACTTGTCCCTCTCCAGACCTGGGGGCAGAGGGAGGAAGTGAAGCCACTACCCACTCGAGGGCCACCATGGTGACTGCTTTCGACAGTTCACCCCGGGCTATTTGGGTCACTCTATTAACGCTCAGTTCACCCTGGGCTATTTGGGTCACTCGACTAAAGTTCAGCCATGGAGACACTACTCCTGCAGATAGCAGCTGCCTGAGCCCAGTGGGGACAGGACTAGCTGGGTCAACAGTCTGTCCTGCAGGTGACCCCTGCTCTTTGGGCCCTGGTCACTGGGTTTGGAAGGAGCAGTGGATGGAAACTAGAAGCCTGAGACCACAGTGCCCTTAGGTTCCTCTTCTGGAGGCCCAGACTTGAAGCAGTGGTTTCCCAGGTCCTGCCAATCCCAGCACAAGCTAGGTCGGCTCCCTCCATCCTGGGATGGGCAAGCAGCCATCCCCCTTGGGTGGTGGCCTCAGCAGGGGTGGAACTGGGATGTCACGGTGTAGAAGCCTCCAGCGGCACAGCAGGAACCAGCTAAGCCTGGAAGTGGGCCTCACCACAGATGAAGCATGTGGTCTTGAGGATCTCCTCTTTCTTCTGCTTCTCACTGCGCAGGTCGGCGAAGGTGTCGATGATCACCCCAAAGATGAGGTTCAACACGATGATGATGACGATGAAGTAGAACAGGAGGTCGTATACCACCCGGGCAGGGAAGAGGGACTCCTGCGGGGGGGGGGGGGGGGGGGGGTACTGTGAGGACACAGTTCGGCAGGCCGTGTGGCTCTGCTCACTCCAAGCCCCAAGAGAGAAATGTGGGAGCCTAAGGACGGCAGTGACATCATCTGTCAACTAGCAAGAAGCCCTGAGCTGACATTTGGAAAGGGCCGGCCAGGAGGAAGCCCTTACAAGTTTGTCCCGTTACAAAATGGGGCTTGTTTCTGCCTTTAACTTAAAGGGGAGGGCAGCTGTGAGCTCCTAGGTCAACTTTCAGGATGTCTCACACATTCCAGAACCTTTGTCTAGCCAGAGATGACTTCTCCCAAGTAACTGGGAATTGATGGCTTGGACAGCCAGCAGCCCTGTGTTAAGTTCTGAGACTCCTCACAGAGCTGACTCAGTGTCCTGCCCCTCCCCGCCCCCCCATCCCCACCCCCGGGCTGAGGAAGCCAGAGACTGATGCCTGGCTCACACCTTCCCAAGCCTCAGAGCCAGGACTGGTTGCCATGGTGTCCCTTGTAGCATCTACAGTGAGACTAAGTGGGCTGGGGTGGATAGCTCTGGACAATGTCACAGAAACTGGCTGGGTATGGGAAGCAGGGAGCATTCACAGAAGTGGGTGGGATGGTCAGCATGGAGGGGACCCAGCTGCTGCCTGGCTGAGGCCCAAGGGCAGGGCAGGGATACTCACATCTTTGGAGGGCTTGCGGAGGATGTCACCCACACCACCACCATTGCGCAGTCCGTGGTTCATGACGGTGACGATGCACATAAGTAGAGTGTCACAGGCCCGCTCAGTGCTATCCAGCTCCTCGTCCTCTGTGGGTGGTCAGTACGCTCAGACCGGGGCTGCCCATTCTGTCCTGTCCCACCCCATCCTGCAGGTGTCTCAGCCTTACCTTCTGGGATCTCAGGCACCGATACCTCCGAGACACAGTCTATCTTGTCCCCACTACATGTGCCCATAAATGTGGCAGCTCCATGTGACATTCCCAGGGTGCTGGCTAGAGGTGATGGGAATAAGGTCACAAGGAGATACAAATGTCTGTCTGACCTCAGCATCGCTCTTGTCTGTCCTGAGACACGTCCCTGGGAGGCCTCCCCTCCTGCTGGCTCTCACTACAGCTAGGGAGGGTCTCTGCGACTCTGCGCCTGGCCGAGGCAGCCCCTGCAGACACCAGGTTCTCCATGAATGACAGACAGGTCTACAGGGCTTCCATGGCTCTGCCTCCCCCAGACTGCAGTGAACTAGAGCCTGGAGGTTGGTGTGGGCCAGATGTCCCCAGAACCCAGCATGAGGAGGCAGGGAGCCTAGAGGAGCAGGCATGCCCTGTCTGGTGCTGACAGCTACCTCTGCGTGCCCATTGTCACCCCCCCCCCACGCCCACCCCAGAAAGGAAGTCCCAAGACCTCTGGAGTGGTTCCCAGGCAGCCGGTCCACCTCCAGGATGAAATCATCCTTGAGGAAGAGGAACCCCACGATGGAGAAGAGGTAGACTAGTATGAGGGCCAGGAGGGCAGTCAGCAGGATGGAGCGGCCATTGCGGGTCACACTCTTGATGACATTGAAGAGCGTCTCCTCGCGGTAGATGAGGTCAAAGAGCTGCAGAGACAGCATCTGAGTAAGTCAGGCCCTGCCCTGGGGTCGGGGCCCGGGCCGGAGTCAGGCAAACGGGGCAGGCGTGAGAGGAGTCAGGGTGAGTGGACCCCAGCCACTCCGGAAGGTTGGCAACTCTCACGCTACACTCACTCCCAGGGATGCATTCTAAGCATTTCTCACCCAGTTGTACATTTCACCCTGTGATTCTAGGAGGCAGAGTTGTCACGAGACATAGGGCAGATAGGACATCTGCTTAGAGTTACACACTGTTCAGGTCAGAGGTTGGAGGACAAATGCCTGGCCTGGCCAGTTCCGGATTGATCCCTCCTCTGAATGGGACAGATGGCGGCTTATGGGAAACGAGGGTTAGGAGCCCTGGCCCCGGCCATCTGCAGGCTCACCAGGATGCTATAGAAGAGCTCGTGTGCAAAGAGGCCCAGGACGCTCGTCAGGATGTAGCCCACGTGGTACAAGAACTCCATGTCCATGACCATGGCCTTATAGCCACGGATGAAGGTACCACGGTTGCCCACGAAGCTCACCACGAACACGATCTTGTTGGTCAACTGGATAGAAAGGGCAGGATGTGGCGGTCAGCACCCCATCATCTATCCTAACCCTCAGCCCTGCCACCAAGCCCAGCCCAGAGGCTAGTCCCGTGGAATAAGTCGTGAGAGGTGCAGTATCAAAGAAGTGAAGCCCTGGGGAAACTGAGGCTCAGGTGAAGCGGGCTGGAATGGAGAAGACCCCAGTCTTACAGTGCTGGGTTAGGAAAAGTCGTCTTTCCCATTTCTCAGGAAACAGTCAAACATAAGTTTGACATCCATTTGTGCATGGCCCATGGCAGTGCATGGCCAGCACCCAGCATTTGACGCCCAAGGCTGCTGATCTCAGGTAACTAATCCCTGGCTGCCTGAGTTGTGGGAGAAGCCCAGAACAGGCCTACAAGGAGCCGGCAGCAAGAACGGCAGAGATCAGCAGGTGAGCAGGGTGGCCAGGGACCTCGCAGCACTCACATTGAGGGCACCCAGGATGTTGAGTGTGGGCCCAATGCCCAAGTAGTAGATGGACCGTAGGATGAGCGCCACAATGAGGGGGCGGACACTGTAGCGCTTGGTGAACAGCGCCGCGATGGAGAAGCAGATGAGGATCCAGAAGAGCAGCGAGATGAGTGGGGAGCCCAGCACACCTGAGGGCAGTGGGCAGGCATGAGCAGAGTACTTAAGCCCTGACGGCCCCAGTGTGAATCCCCGACCCCCCAGAACCTCCCCTAAGGACCTAGTATACCTGCAGCACCCCACCAGCTGCTGCAAACATCTCAAGTCTGGCTTACATCTGTGCATGTGTACACACGCATGCCCACAGGCCATCTCCCAGGAGGCCAACCTGTCCATCCCTTGAGCCACACTTGCCCCTCGTAAGATGCAGAGGGTGCACAGGGCAGTGCAGGGGTGTGTCTCCCCACTGCACGGGAGGGGTGGGCAGCCTCACCTGTGGACGCACCCTCTACATAGGGGTAGAAGAAAGCAATGATGATGTTGATAAACACAGCCAGGTTGAAGGAGATGCTGCCCCACAGCGTCATGCGGCGCGAGAACCAGTAGATGAGCGGCATGCCTGGGGAGACAGTGTGGCGTGAGGGTCCAAGCAACCCCATGTCCAGGGGAGCCAGGGGGAGCCCCGCGGTCCTCACTGCGAAGCCGGCGCTGCCACTCCATCTCGTTGTGCAGGAAGGAGGACTGGTCGAAGAAGTCGCTCACTTTGCTGCCCTGCTCGTCCTGCTCGGTGGTGGTGAAGAGCCGGTGCTTGGTCTCCTCCGTCAGGAACTGGCAGATGGCAGGCACCGGGAACACGATCTGCTCCATGCTTCGGTCTTGCCGCACAATCTGATTGGCCAGGCGACACCCGGTCACCCTGGGCAGAGGCCCTCACCGCCCCCCGGCTCACGCCCGGCGCCCTCTGCCTCACCTCAATCTGCGAGGTGTGGTTCTCGTAGTAGGCCAGAGGGTCCTCCTCCTCCTCCTGGGCAGGCGCCGAGGACTTGAGCATCTGGGACAGCTGCTTGTTGTTGAGACTGAGCTGGGGACAGAGGTGGGCATTGGGTCAGCGCTGCAGCCATCCAGAGTGCTGCTCCTGGGGGTGACCCACCAGCCAGCCCAGACCAAGGCCACTCAACCAGAGCAGGGGAGTCGGTGCCCTCTTCAGCCCTGCCCTGGGGTCCTGCTACAATATTCCAGACCTGTCCCAGATGCAAGGTCTTGCTTTCATTTCTGTACCCCAGTCCAGCTGCAAGCCCCACCCACAGATTCTAGCCTGGCTCTCGGGATCCAAGCTCACTTGGTTCTAGGCTGGCTTTGGATGACCGCAGCTTTCTGCCTCTAGCCTGCCCCTTGCTTCTCTCTCATTCCCACAGAAGTCTCATTCCTGCCCTCACGTCACAGCTCTGTTCCTTCACAGCCACCAGTCCATCCAACCCCACCAAGTGAGGCTCCTGGGTTCAAGTCCCACCCCACCCCCAAACTCTCACCCCCGCCGTACCATGGAAGAGATGCCCTCCGCCTCCTCCTCCTGGATGCGCCTCACCGGCTTCAGCAGGTGCTGCAGCTGTTTGTTGTGCCTGGAAAGCTGCAGGAGACAGGACGAGACAGCTGTGAGCGTTGTCTGGAGGGCAGGGCCGCAGAGGGCCGGGGCCGCACAGGGCCGGGGCCGCGGGCAGCACTTGGTACCTGAAGCGCCAGGATGTAGATGTTGTGGCCCACTTCACGTGGGCTCACTTCTGAGTTCTCCCTCTCCTCCTCCTGCAGGTAGGCTTTTTTGATCACGTCCACCTGGGTGGGTGCCAGGGAACAACACAGCACTCGCTGTTACGCCCACTCCTGGGGCACGGACCCCCACGCCTGCACCACCCACACAGTCCTCTCCTGCTGCCCGCCTGCGCTCACCAGCTCCTGAGGCCGCAGGCTGATGAGGATGCGTTCCGCATTCTCACTATCATGCCGACTCTCCATCAGAGCCAGGAGGAGTTTGGAGGCATTGTCCTGGGAGGAGGGGTACAGGAAGCAACCTGAATCTAAGAGCCCCCATTATGGCCTTTTAACCTCCTCCTCACTTTGTTCTCAGATGCTGGTGTGCTGAGAAGTGTCCAGTGTATTAATCCCCTGTAGACCTTACCCACCCTGAGCAAATATGTTCAAGCCCCCCATCCCACCCCCATACAAACACACACACACAGGAAGTCCTCGGGAACCCACGATGAGTGTGATGTCTGTTCACACGTCTATTCCTGTGTAGCCAGTGCAACCTGCACATGCACAGAAGAGGCCCCCACATACAGCACAATACAGTGCCACACCTGTCAAGTACCCTTGTCACTCACACGTGAACACACGTTTCACAGGCACAGCCGGCATGCTCCCCACCGGGCCCCACCTTGAGCTGCAGCACCAGATCCATGCGGTACTTGCAGAGTGGGCTGATGTCATTGAGAATCAGCGCGGTGATGATGTCGATGCCATTGGATTCATGAGTCACGATGCAGGTCTGACAGGAGGCAGTGGGAGATGCAGGGCCAGACCCGCAGTCGGGGTGGCCCTGCAGCCCCCCACACACCCTCTTGGCTCCTTCACAAGCACCACTGCCACCCCAAGGCTGCTCACCTGGTTCTCGTGACATGGGCCCTGGCAGTACTCGGTGAGGGTCTCCAAGGTCTGGATGACCAGGCCCACGTTGTCCTCGTTGATGTAGAGCCCCAGCAGCCCCAGCCCCCCCGTGGTGCTGCCGCACATGATGTCCAGGAACTGCAGGGTCTCACACACCAGGTTGTAGTTGGTCTTGTTGTTCTGACAGCGCAGGAAGTTCTGTGGAGCACAGGCAGGATGCATCGTCATCCCCACCAAGAGGACATCAGTTCCGGTGGCCATGCCAGGGATGCTGGCCGATTGGAAGTGGGGGGCGGGCAGGCATGGGCAAGGCACTCACCTGTAGGTCACGGTTGTGGTTCTCACACAGCAGCTGCAGGAAGCGCAGGATGGGCCGCATGATGAGCACAGAGGTGCCCATCTCGTTGCTCTGCACACGCTCCCCCATCTCATGCCCCCGGTGCAAGCCGGGGCCCAGCGAATAGCGGGAGGGGCTGGGCATGGAGAAGGAGGCCACACGGCCTGTGGAGCAAGGCTTGGTAAGGCGGGGGCGACTGAAGCCCCTCCCTCTCTGGGAGACCCCCGTGCCCCGCACCCCACGTCTGCCTGGAGCCCAACCTTTGGTGGTAGGGTCCGCTGGCTCACGGTCCTCACGGGGCTGGCTGCCCAGGTCACTCATGTTGACGGCCACTGTGGACTTGGTCTCCTGCTGGGCTCGCTTCATGCGGTCATGCAGCACCCTGAAGAAGCGCTCTGACTTCTTGTCGCTCGTCATCAGGTTGTAGAAAGATTTCTGGAGATGGACGGGAGGTGGCGAGCAGCCTCAGCACTGTGCCTGGCTCTGGGTGGCCATGGTAGGCCTCACAAACCCTAACCTGAAGTTGGGTGTGGTAGATGGGTATCATCCTAGCCCTGGGAGGTGGCAGCAGGAGGATCAGGAAGTCAAGGTCATCCTTAACTACTTATGGAGTCTGAGAGACACATGTACCCTGAGATGGAGGCTAGGGATGGGCTTGGGGCCTCAGCAGTTAATGGGGAAGGCCAGCCTGCCATGGCCACAATGCTGAGGGTGTGTGGGGTGATTATGAGCTGCCTTCTGCCCAGGCCCTACTGGCTACTGGCTCCAATTGTACTCCACACTGCAGCCAGATCCCTTGGAGGCCTAAGTCCTGTCCTTGTAGTGCATGCAGCCTTCAGGGGCTCCATCTCCTTAGAGGAAAAGCCTCAGCCACTGGGGGCCACGAGGCCACGTGAGAGTCTCTTCCTAGGACCCCACGCCTTCCCTCCTCCAGCCCCTTCGTGGCTGCTCTGCACACTCTTCCCACAGAGCTCCAGCGTCACCTCAGGTCTTTCTCTCTGTCCCCCAGGCTTGCCCGTCACTCTGTTTTCCCCACCTGTGCTAAGGGTGAAACCGAGGGCCTTGTGAAGGCTGGGCCAGGACCACCGCACCGGATCACCAGCTCCACGGGGTGTGTTTTGTTTTTTAATTTTTTATTTCTTTTTAGATAAATCTGTCTACATAGCCCTGGCTGTTTGGAGCTCACCATACAGACCATGCTGGCCTCCGACTCAGAGAAAGCTACCTGCCTCTGCCTCCGGAGGGCTGGGATTAAAGGGGCGTGCCACCACCTGTTGTTTTTTCTTTACTAAAGGTTGAGTGACAGTACCCAGGCTGGCCTTGAAGTTGCTCTGGAGTCCAGGCAAGCCTTGAACCTGGGACCCCCTGACCCGGCAAGCCCAAGCCACTAGGCCCAGCCTGTGACTGTTTAACACAACCCGGTGCCCTGCATTCCATGTCTCCTGCCTTAGATCCTGATTTCCACAGTGTCTGCTCTCTGCCTGTGTCCTTTCCAAAACACAAACATCAAGAGAACAGATCTTGTCTCCTTTTCAGAGCTGATGCTTGGCGCTTACATCGTTCTCAGTGACGAACAGGAAATGTGAACAAAGGATGAGTCAGTGAAGAGTGAATGAATGAATGAATGGGATTAGGAGTTAGGGCCTTGGAATAGTCAGGCCAGGGCTCCAGGGCTGAGGAGGATGGGGGAGAGGAAGCAGGAAGAGGCCTGAGCAGACACGGAAATGCCAGAATGGTGGAGCTAGTGGGACAGGACAGAGTCGGTACAAGGCCGGCCTGGGCGAGGGGAACAGGTGCAGACTCAGAAGGTCGACGCCCCCAGCACCCAGGCCCCCAGCCTCAGCACCACGGCCTCTCCCAGGCAGGCAGCATCACCAGAGGCGAAGGCTCTGCTCCGACCCCACACCTGGATCTCAGTGTTGCCTCCGTCCAGCAGGCGGATGGCCAGGCCAATGCTCTCCTGGAATATCTTCTCGTTCTTGGTGCTGGTGATGAGGTCGCAGACCAATTTGGTGGCCCCCTCCTTGTCCAGCCGGCACTGGGTGGCTGCGATGGCTGACCAGTCCTGGTCCAGGCCTTGGGGAGAAGCTCGTATGAGAGACAATGGTTGGAAGCAGGAGCCAGCCACGCGGGGTGGGGCAGGGATGGCCCGTGGCACTGACCAGAGCCTGTGGGGTCAGGGAGCTCGCCCCGGGAGCTGGATTTCCGGTTCTGGAGGTAATTCTGCAGCAGCATCTTCCGCAACTGGTTGCCCTGGGAGGTCAAACGAGGCCTTTGGTGACCAGTGTCCTGCGTCCCGAGCCCTGCTCTAGCCTGGTGGTGTCGGCACTCACCCGGTCTCCATACTTGCTCTTCTTCTGCAGCATCTGCTGCAGGGTCCGAAGCACCTTCACACACAGCTTCTCCTCTGACTCCATGAGGCCCTTGGTGTGACGGATGAGCCTAGAGCAGAGGCAGGGGCTGAAGGGGCCACCTGCCTCCGTGGAGCCCCAGACCCAGGTCACCACACCCTCCGTCCCCGCTCACTTGGACAGGAAGCCCCCACTCTCGCAGCGCTGGTAGGCTTCACTGCCCTCCAGAAAGAGCAGCTCGGGCCAGTGCAGCATGTCCACCAGCACCGAGAGCTCGGCCTGCACCAGAGGTTTCAGCCGCTCTTCTAGGGCCAGGATGATGTCCTGGGAGGGAGGCCAGGGTCACCACCTGGCTCAGGATGACCAGGGTGTGACCATATCCCACCCCCCAAAGACTACACACCGCCTGCCTGAGGGGCAGCAACCCCCTCCCTCTGCAGGGCAGGTCCTTCCCCGGGGTTTCAGGCAGCCACGCCCACCTGCAACTTCTCAATGATGTTCTTGTAGTCCCACTGGTTGGCGGTGGGGATGACGCGAGGGAAGGTCCTCGTGGCTGTCTTGTAGTTGGCAGCACTGCGTTGGGCCGCGGCTGCACAGCTGCCCCCACTGCTGAGCAGGGCACTCATGTGGGCATCCAGGTCCATGGGCAACAAGATGGCCCGGCTCTTGGCTGCAAGACAAGGCAGCACCAGAGGACAGGGTGGTATGGATGGCTGGGCCAGGCTCAGGCTGCCACACAGGGGCAGGGAAGAGGCAAGCAGACCGGAGTGGGGCAGGGGTGAATATTGCCTGTGCCTCTCTTGGGCATTCCGCCTGATTCACCAAGCACATGGGAACCCAGCACCACCTCCTGCCCGGGTCCCTTGCAAACACACAATCAGCAAGGGGCAATGAGAGTGACCCCAGCTGGATGTGACCACCCTGGGTGACGTTCGCGCTCAGGGATACGGTGGTCGCTATGGGGCTGGTGTCCCCGGCGGGGTACACCGGGAAAGGTCCAGCATGGCTACTCACCCACCATGGCGAGGGTGCGGACACAGGCCTCCACGGAGCCCTTATGCTGCTGCTGCAGCCAAGGACACTCGAGCAGCCGCGTGGTGGATTGCAGCAGCTGAACCACAATTGTCTGGTGTGTCTGCAGAGGACGGGACCCGGAGGCAGCTCAGCCAGCCCCGCGGGCACGGGCCCAGGACCCTCACTGCCACAGTCTGTCTGTGGTCCGACAGAAGGTCACCAGTTCCTATGGCACCGAACGACCTCCCCTGGCTGTACAGGGCCGCCACGTGAGAGCTCCCCACAGCACAAGCCTGGGCTCACAGCCATACTAACCACCTTTCCTTCCTTTGAAATGAAGGTGAGGAAAGGTGCTGTGTTCACATGGTTCAAAACCCAAGGTCTGGCTCCGTGGCTAACAGCACCTGGGGCTCTGTCTGAGGGCCCAGGTTCAATCCCTAGCACCCATGTCTGACTGCTCTCAACCGCTTTAACTCCAGCTCCAGGAGACCCAATGCTCTTCTTGCCTCCTCAGGCACCCAGATGCCTGCACAGACAGACACACAGACACACACACACTTAAAAAAAGACAAGATTGAAAAGTGGTGCACACCTTTAGTCTCTGCTCTCAGGAGGCAGAGGCAGAGGCAGGCAGATCTCTGTGAGTTGACCCAGTCCCAAAAAACAAAGTACAATTTAAAACCAAACAGAAAATAATGAAAGAAAAGATATACTTTGGGCCAGTGAGACAGCTTAACAGGTAAAGGTGTGTGTCGTGCAAGCCTGGTGACCTCAGTCTGATTTCTAGAACACAGGTAAGGGTAGAAAAACGGACCTGACTCCATAGCATTGTGTCCTGACCTCCGTATGCTCACACTTATCCAGCACACACACACACACATACACACTATGTGCACACATACAATAATAACACATTCTGAAGGCCTATTTAAAATTCTACTTTATCCCGTCCTACAGCTAGTCTGAGGCTGGGGGGAACACTTTTTTTTTTTGAGACAGGCTGGCCTTGAACTCAGAGACCCACCTGCCTCTGCCTCCTCAGTGCTGGGGTTTAAGGCATGCGCCACCACATCCAGCCATAGATAAAAATGTTCAGTCTCCTTGTCTCAAATGGATATCAAAGCAACTCACCCTTCCTGGATCTAACTTTTTTGTTCCTTGGTGTTTTTGAGATGGGGCCTCACTATCACACTCTGTAGCTCTGACTGTCCTAGAACTTACTATGTAGAGCTGGCTTTGAACTCACGGAGATCCGCCTGCCTCTGCCTTCCAAGTTCTGGGATTAAAGGCGTGCGCCATCCTGCCTGGTGTACCTAACCTTCTGTTTACTCTCCTCAGAGCTAGCCTGGTGCCAGCGCTGGCCTTGAACCCATGGGTGCCACTTCCCCTGGCTGCTTCTCCATCCTCTGTGTTTATAATTTAGACAGTGCCTCGGGGCCTTCCTCAGGGAGACCTGGGACTATGATTAAGGCTGAAAAACACCTCAGCCATGGCTCTCAGTGACTCAGGTCAGCCCCTGCACAGGGATGCACAGGGATGCCAATGAGTCTCCAGGCTGCCTGCCTGCCCAGCACCCACGGGCAGTGCAAGGTCTCTGCAAGCGGTCCCGCCAGCCATCCACTGTCCTGGGCAGCAGCCACACGCACCCCACCACCCCAGGTCCTGCACACCTGCTAGACCGACTGAGGGATTCCTGTGTTAATCTTGTCAATCCCATGGGACCTCCTAAGTCAGTGTGGAGTGTGTCCATGGGGTCTCCAGAAAGCTGGAAGACCTATCCTAAACACATGCTGCACCCACCCATGGATCGGAACCCCAGCGTGAATAAAAAGGAGAAAGTGAACTGAGTGCCAGCGTTCATTGCTCTTTGTGGATGAAGCGTGACCAGCCATCCACATTCCTGCTGCCAGGATGGACTGTACCCCTCAAAGAGCACGCCCCACCAATTCCTTAAATTGTTCCTTGTCGGTTACTTTGTATCATTCCCACTGTAGTGCCTGACCCACACTGGGGCCGTTTGTTACACTGTAGATGACTAATACACTGTATTTCCTGCATCTTCATGTGCTCGCATAAGCAAGGCTATGCTGCGCAAGAGAGCCAGCTAGAGTGGCCATGCTTGACCGTGTGGGCCACTCACCTGCAGCGACGTGCTGTTCTCTGAAAACGGGGAGCTGAAGAAGGCGCTGATGGTGTCCAGCACCACAGTGAGCACGTACTTCTCTAGGGTGGGGTCTGCCAGGCGTTTCTCCCGTTTGTTGCAGACCTATGGAGGAGAGTCATAGGGGGGAGATCTGCGGGTCACCCCTCCACCCAGAAGCCCAGCCCTGGCCCCCGGGACAGACCAGGGCCATGTCCAGGGTGAAGTTCTCGAAGAGCGTCCAGATGTGGTTGCTGGTGTAGATCTCCTTCATCTCCACCTCTGTGTCCACGTAGCAGTGGTTCACAAAGTTCACGTACGCCATTTTAACCTGGGCAGCAGGCGGGCGAGGGGTGTCAACAGTGCCTGCTCAGGCTCTCCCCTCTTAACCCATCATCTGACCCCCAGCGTGGCTGCACCACAGCCTCCTCCCCGCTCTGTGCCCCTCTCGCAGCCCAAGGGTGCACACCTCGGTGATGCAGTCCTCGTGGGTCACCACAGACACCACGTCCTCCAGAGGCAGCAGGGAGGTGCACTTGATCTCCGTGTAGACGTTCTTGCCCTCCGCGCAGGCAGCCAGCAGGTCCACCAGGGAGATGTGGTACATGAGAGGGCTGTGGTCCTCCACGCCATCTCGGGCTGCCTTCATCATGTCCAGCAGATGGGCCAGAGAAGCCTTGTCGTTGTAGAACACCACCACGTCGTCACCTGCGTTGGTCAGCTGTGGCAAAGGCAGAGGTAGGAGTCAGAAACCTCGTCAGGCAGCCCCAGGCACCACCTCTCTCCTGTGATCCTCGGGGCAAGCTGAGCCATGACCCCAGCTATGACCTGATACCCATGCTCAAAGTTTTGGGTTTCTGAAACAGTTTCATGTAGTCCAGGCTAGCTTTGAAATCACCATGTAGCTGAGGATAACCGTGAACTCTTAATTGTTGGGATTTTTTTTAAATTTTATTTTATGCATATGGGTGTTTTGCCTACATGTATATCTGTCCACCACATGTGTGCAGTACCCACAGAGGTCAGAAGAGTGTTGGATCCATTGAACCTAGAGTTACAGGTGGTCATGAGCCAGTGCTGGGAATTGAACCCAGGTCCTCTGAAGGAGCGGGCAGTGCTCTTAACTATGGAGCCATCTCTCCAGCCTGACTCTGAATTCTCGATCCACATCAGCCTCCTAAGTGCTAGGGTCACAGGTGTGAACCATCTTGCCTGGCTTCCTGCCTGAGTTTTGGGGTTCCTTCGCTGCTGGGTCTGGCCCTCTTCCTTCAGAGACCTTAACCCTGGATCTGGAAAGTGGCCAAATCTCCTCAGGCTCCAGCGTGTGCACTGAACTGAAGCATGCTCCACCTCTCTCCTCTCCCTCACGGTCAGGAGTTAACACGGCCAAAGCGAATGCTTCAGCTCTAGTGTCTCACCCAGGCATCCCTGTCTCTGTCCCTGCCCGCCCCCAGCCCACTGTGAGGTGCCCCTAGGGAACAGACCTCCCAGACTGGGATCAAGGCTCAGCCCGTCCTCCACGTTTTGGGTGAGAACAGGTTTGGGCATTCCCACTCTGCGCCAGGCCCCGAAGTCCGGGTTCTCCTGACCGATTCTGGACAGGCGCCCCGAGTTCATTCTCCCTCCCAAGCTCTCCCTGGGGCCCGCCTCCCAGCTCCCTGTGGCCCAGGCCGCCCTCACCTCGGTCATGATCATGTCCTGGCACTTCTTCACGTACTTGCCCTCAGCCTTGATGACGGTGTGCAGGAAGTCCAGGTACTGCACGTGGCGCCCGTGCGTGGCCAGCAGGTGCACAAAGTGCTGCAGCACAGGCTCGCTGATCTCGGAGCACAGCTGGTAGTTGTTGAGGAAAATGTGCTGCATGGTCTCGGCCTCCAGGAGCTGAGGGGGGGGCAGGGGGGGCAGGGGAGGGCCGTCAGAGACGGGTGGGGCCCTCAGAAAGAGGAAGGCCCATCGGGGACCCTGCGCAGGCGCCCACGTGGGCCTCACCCCGGGCGTGAGGAAGAGCTGTAAGTGCTTATGCAGCAGGGCCTGGTTGCCAGGGTTCCCGGCACAGAACTTCTGCAGGAACTGGTGTGTGTAGCGCAGGATCTCCAGCATCTTGTTGTCGCCCTGTGTGCAAAGAGAGGCTGCTGGGCCATCGGGGGGGGGG